GTTAAAAAAAAAAAAAAAATCACTGTCAGAGACAAATGACAATGCACCCAATGAAGAATGAACATGGCTTCCAGCTTACTCCCGCGTGTCACCTCATTCATCAGTGTAGAAGTCCTAAAGTAATACTAATAAACCATTGCCTAACGCGCAAAAAAACTCGTCATGTTTGCCTGTCGCCGCTGATCCATCAGTGACTCTGATTATTACTTATTAATCTTGTCATCCAAGCATCCAATTACAGTATTACCTACCTTTTTCAACTCATTTCTACCAAAGCGTGCAAAGCCACACACTGATTTCTTAAAATTGCAATATTTCCTTCGCAGTCTTATAATCCTGTTTTTTTTTTCTTTTAAATATCTAATAAATATATTAGATAAAAAAATCAACTTTCATATTATTTTTTTAATTCCCGCAGTCACCATATATATCACTAATTAGTATTACTAAGCAACATTAATAAATTAGTGATACGATTTTGAATATAAAAGATCCTGATTGCATGTCATCCCCAGCCTCTTATATAAAAGGGACAGGGACAAGCACAAACCAGATCACGCCACTCCTCTCTCTCAAACACAAGAGTAATACTCCTCCCATAAGAAACAAGAAGCCCGGAAAATAGAGTAAAACAAAACCGCACAGTCTTGTTTTATGGACTCTATCAAGTCCTTCAAGGGCTACGGTAAGGTAGATGAGCTCGACCAGAGAGCTTTCCAGAAGAAGACACGTCGCCGCCTCATTATCCTCGGCATTTCTTGCATTCTCCTCGTCGCCGTCGTCGCCGCAGTTGCAGCCACCGTCATTCATAGGCGCGGCCGCTCTTCCTCTTCCTCCGACTACGTCCCTCCCACCGAGTTGACTCCGGCGTCGTCCCTCAGAGCCGTCTGCGCTGTCACTCAGTACCCCAGCTCGTGCTTGTCCAGCATCTCGTCCCTCCATAATTCTAACACTACCGATCCGGAGCTTCTCTTCAAGCTCTCTCTCCGAGTCGCCGTTGACGAGCTCTCCAATCTTTCGAAGCTCCCTTCCAAGCTCAAAGCCAATGTGAAGGATCCGCGGGTTCAGAAGGCGATCGAGGTGTGCGGAATTGTGTTCGACGACGCGGTGGATCGACTCAACGAGTCGATCTCATCGCTTGACGGCGGCGGAAACGGCGGGAAGATCCTTTCGCCGTCGAAGATCGGTGACGTTGAGACGTGGCTGAGCGCTGCGATTACGTACCAGGAGACCTGTCTGGACGCTCTGGAAGAGTTGAATTCCACAGCCGCAAGCGAGATTCTCGAGGATCTGAAAACCGCGATGAAGAACTCAACCGAGTTCGCAAGTAATAGCTTGGCCATTGTGACCAAGATTCTAGGCCTTCTCTCGAATTTCAACTTCCCGATCCATCGGAGGCTACTGGGATTCGGGGGATCCGATTCCGGTTTTCCGGATTGGCTTGGCCCGGCAGAGAGGAGGTTGTTGGAGAATACTAACGCAACGGCGCCGCATGCGGTGGTGGCAAAAGATAACAGCGGGCGATATAAGACGATAAAGGAAGCGTTGGCGGCCGTGAAGAAGAAGAGCGTAACGAGGTTTGTGATTCATGTGAAGGAAGGGGTTTACAAAGAGAATATCGATTTGGATAAGAACACTTGGAATGTGATGATATACGGTGATGGCAAGACCAAGACCATCATCTCCGGCAACCTGAACTTCATCGACGGCACGCCTACCTTTTCAACTGCTACTTTCGGTAAGCCGTATATCTCTCTCTCTTTTCATTTATTATTTATTTACTTTGTTCCCCTTTCCTTTCTCTCCTTTATTATTTTTCTAATTTCCATTACTCGTTCCATGCTTGATAGTTAACATGACAACCAACCATTCATTCATGCACATCGATGTTTCTATGTTTGTTAGGTATATGTTTTTGATGCTGCGTTTGGTTTATTTAGAGGAGCATTTTCTTAACAGTTTTAGTGGCGAAAATATTTTTGGTACTGCATTTAAATCTCCTTATACTTCATTTTAAAGCTTGAACTTTCTTTTTGATATAACTTTAGCTTTCTTTTTACAAGTGTATAGAATCGTTCAAAGCAATTTGCGTTAAGCTTGAAAGTATTGTCACTGTCATATATATCTTAAAAAATTGATAAAATTTGTGGAAGTTTTTTCTTAAAATGTTTTATTAAGTCCTTTTTACATAATAAATATATGGAAAATATAGTTGAGAGAACGAGCTCGATAGAAAGAACGTGACAAGGGAAACACCGGCGTTATTACTTATTAGTGGGATAAATGTTATAAGCAAGCGGTGACACATCATATGTGTGGCCAACCCACATGTCCACATGATATAGTGAAAATGATGGATCATTATGTGAACATGATCTGGCAGTGTGAAATCGCGTTCAAAACATCGTAGCTCCTTTTGGTTTTGTTACTTTTATATTTTCCTGAACAGTGAACGCAATCTATGGTGATGATGATGATTCAAATGAAAAACAATGTTTGATGGAATATGGTTGTCGGCTTGTTGCCTGGTGGGCTCATGTCCTGCCATGAGCCCATGAGTGCATGTCTGTTTTCAGATGATATGCTTATTCTTTTTCTTATGATCTTGTCACTCGTAAACCACAAAAGTCTCTCGCCCAAAACATTAGTATGAACAAGTGGTAGGTCTGTTCTGGAGACAAACAGGGTTGAAATTTTTATGTTTCTTATATTTTTTTAATGAAATATCATACATGACATATTTTTATTTATGTAACATCTATCTTAATGTTTGGAAAACACTTAGTTATAAGCCCCTAACATTTTATGTGAAGTTTTACATGTTATTATATTATCTGGAAAGTTGTTTGGCTTAAAAAAAAAAACTATCTAAGCATATTTTTGCTTGAATGATTTTATTCTTTGCTAATATATTCGGCTTATAAAAAAAAAACTCAATTAAGCATGCCAGTATTAACTTGAAAAGATTATGTCCTTATCCTGTACTAATTATAAAATTTCATAAAAAATGTGCAGAAAACTTGGCCAAGTTTAAGTAACTATTCGAAAGGGGAAACAGGGTTATAAGCCAATAGTTTTACATTTTTACCAATGATTTGGCTTCGGTGCTTTCTGTCCAATCTTTTATTTCAACTCAAATGTTCATGTGCGTGCAAGACTGATGGTATAATTGAAAAAAATTAGATACTTAATTTTGTATATTTAATATATTATTGTCTAATAGAATTAAAATAAGTAGATTTTATATTATTCAACTTAGCTTGATAAGAAGAGTGAGTTTTACTTCTTTAGTTTTACTCCCACTAGACAAACTCACATGCTTATAACCAGCTGTCAAGGGAAAGGGATTCATCGCCAAGGACATAGGATTCATCAACACCGCCGGAGCAGCGAAGCACCAGGCGGTGGCGTTCCGCTCAGGCTCTGACCGATCCGTGTTCTTCAGGTGCTCTTTTGACGGCTTCCAAGACACTCTCTACGCCCACTCCAACCGTCAATTCTACCGAGAATGCGACATCACCGGCACAATCGACTTCATCTTCGGTAATTCCGCCGTCGTCTTCCAGAACTGCAACATCAAGCCGAGACAACCCTTACCAAATCAATTCAACACTATCACGGCTCAGGGCAAAAAGGATCCTAACCAGAACACGGGTATAATCATCCAGAAATCCTCGATCTCTGCGCTTGACAATCTCAACGCTCCGACGTACCTTGGCCGACCGTGGAAGGAGTACTCCACTACGGTGATTATGCAGTCTGATATAGGGTCATTCTTGGATCCAGCGGGCTGGAAAGAATGGGTTTCGGGCGTGGAGCCCGCGAGAACCATATTCTACGCGGAATACAAGAATTCGGGAGCCGGGTCGGGCGTGGATAATAGGATCAAATGGGCGGGTTATAAGTCGCGCCTATCGGACGATGAGGCAGCGAAGTTCACGGTTCAGTCTTTTATCCAAGGAAGTGACTGGTTGCCAGATGCCGCTGTGGAGTTCGAATCCACATTGTAATGGATTTTTTTTTTTTTGCTTTTTGCTGTTTGTTTTTAACACTGTTTTCTAACTTATATTTGGTCAAGCCGAGTATTACACATAATGTTCGCTCTTGTATTTTAGTTGATGCTACAGTTTGGAGATTGGATTTGGAATGCAAAGACAGTTAAAATTGAACTGTAAATTGGAATGCTAACACACTTGTAAGATGACATGAAAGTCATGTCAAAGCCACTAACGGTTTTATAGACCCAGTTATTTAATTGTCGTGCCTCGGTTTTATATTTAGTTTTTTTTTTCCCAGTAAACGTTGCGATACGAGTCTTCAAATCGGATTTCTGGAAAATGAGTTTAAGAAATATTCTATTCTTATCCTATAACGGGGAAAAAATAATAATAATAATAATGTAATCACTGGCAACGCTTCACCTGAAGGGTGTATGAGATACTTCGATGAGAAGTGGAGTGCCTGAAGGAACATGACTTCCCGGCTTGGTTTCTGATTTTGCTCAGCGGAAATATCTAATAATTATTAGATCAGCACAATTTGAACATACATCAGCTAAGTATGCGTTTGGATTTCATCACGTTTACATTTCAAAAGTAAATTTTAACTTTCCAAATGTAAAATGTTTTTGGCTTCCTTTTTTCAGGTAAAACGTATTTTTTAAACTGACTTTCAAAAACGTTTGAGATGGAGAAATTTGCAAAGCTACTCTGGGTTGCTTTCAAAACGTGATCAGTTGGAATGGATATTTATGGCTGGTACATAATTTTTTTATTGACCATGATGCCCTTCATTTTTGCAGCTGATACATATTTTTATTGACCATGATGCCCTTCATTTTTGCAGCTGATACATATCACCTACACTCCCTCGTCGGTCCTCATTCATGCAGCTGATACATCAGTCTCGTTCGTCCTTTGCTGCTGCTCTGTGTCTGCCGGTCGTCCGCCGCTAGTTCGCCGATCGTCCGCCGCTAGTCCACCGTTCAGCCATCTCTTCTCCTTCCCTCCTTCGTCTCTCCTCCGCCATCACAGATCCGGATCTCTTCCTTCCCTAAGCATCTCCTTCCTTCATCGATGGTGGCTGCATTTCTGGCCAAGAGCTCTCTCATCTCCTGTTACTACTGTCTCTCCACCTATCTCGAAGCTGCTCTCCAGAGGTGGCATCTCCACCATCTCGCCCAGTTCCTCCGAAATGGACGGGTCGCCAAAGGAGGAAGAGGACATTGCCAATGACGACGACGAAGAGGAAAATAAGAGCGACTTTGTCGGAGGATTAAATATCTTCATAGCAGTGACCTTAGCTGCGGCGGCCTGAACATCGGAGAGTTGGGAGCAGGTCAGGGCAGGGAACTCGCGAGGTGAAGGTCGTCCATCTCCGGCGTGGCGAAGGTGCCGAGCCAGCTCCAGTTCTTTTTCCTGGGCTCCCAGATTTTTAACACCCACTTGCCCCACGCCCTCATTCGAACCCCTCTGTACATGGGATGCTTGCTGTTGCTACTATCTCAGCCCTTCTTGAGCTTCCTCTGTTGTGCTGGTAATGTCTCAGAAGCAGAGTTCGGCCATGACTGAGGCGGAGATAGTCTAGATGTTGATGGCGAGGACGACGTGACGATGGAGAGTATATTATTATTACACATTTTTTTAATATCAAATTTTATATTTTTTATTCTTATTATTTAATATTTTAAATTTTATGTTATTTTACATTTATTTCATATTTTTTAATATATTATATTTATATAATAAAAATTATAAATTATTATAAATCAATGTCCTTTTTGGTCATTCTATATTTAGAAGCACATTTCAAAAGCATATATTTTTATTAATCCAAACAACTTTCAATTTATCAAACTGATTTTTAAAAAAATGTATCCAAACACAATTTTCGTTACAACAACTGATTTTTATCAAATTGACTTTTATTAAATAAACTTTCATCAAACTGACTTTTGACAAACTAAAAACCAAACATGCACTAAATTATTTTGAGAGAATAAATTGAGGTTTCAAGTGTCAAATTTTAAGAATTTATAAGTTTAATTTTTATTTTTATAATTTTATTGTGATGAATTTGTAATTTATATTTTAAATTTTAATAAAAAATAAATTTAATTATGTTAAAATTTAAAAAACAACTAATAAATTTATTATAATGAAGTTATAAAATTAAAATATAAATTTTTAAATTTTTAATATTTATATTTAAAATTTAATTTGAATTAATTTTTTGAGAATCAATTATCTTCACCTATTGCACGTTTACGCGTAGCACGCTGCAATTGCTTCGACAATAAAGCAAAAATTCCAGCCAATTACTCTGCTCCTTTTTCCTTTACATTTGCCTAAAAGGTTTAAAAGATTTGAAATCATGAGCTTGCTTGGGGTTTCTAGTTCACACAAACACTTACACACCACACCAGAAACTGACCTGTAGAGCAAGTGAATGGGATAAAAATGAGATGGCGAGAATAAGAAAGTAAATAAAATTAGTATTTATCCATTTAATCCAAAATGAAGGTTTTATAGTCTTAAATAAACTACATAAATTCCCCATATGTTTCACATGAATAAATCACATATTGTGAGTAATAAGATTCATAAAAAAAAAAAAATTATATGATGTAATTGACGACTAGACACATTTTCTTTCGTACATTGTACGGAGTCTAAGGCTTGCTCTATAATTTATATATTGATTATTAGAACTTTCCAAGAATTTTCCCTATAAATTTTGTTAACGTGTGGTTCCAGAAGTTTACTGAATTTACGAGCATTTAATTAAATAAACATTCATGCTTTTACCAAATAATAAATAAAATCATGTGCTTTACTTGTTTGGTTTTAATGTTTTGTGTGCAGAATTGTACATTATGTTTCCTTACATTTAGATTGTCACCTATAAATCAAAATCAAACACATTTCTTAATCACTTGATTTATTAGACATTTCGATGCTCTTAAATTTAGGAAACTCCATAGAATGAACTTGGGAGTATTTTGATCCATGATGTCTTTTCCAGTTAGGGCTTGCATTATTACGGCTCCCTCAGATTTTTGTTTTTTTTTGTTTTAACTATGTGTAATGAGATATGGTTTTGCTGAAAAACAAAAGAGGGTATAGTTTTTAAAGGAGAACAATACTGTTTTGGCTCCTGAATTTTCAGTTTTGACTTTTATCTTAATATTTTCCCTGTGTATTCTTCCTACACTTGCTGTTATTGCCTATTCACTTAATAAAATAAATATCTGCTTCAACATCAATTATTTTTATTTATCTCTCTTTATCTTTATAAATAGTAATAGATAAAAATATGAATATATTATTAATTTCTTTTCATTTTTATTGTCAACCATTTTTCTAAATCATAAAAGTGTGAATTTTTTATAGTACAAGACTTACACACTCAACCTCATGTACTTAATATACTTTTATCTAATTAAATCAAAACAAATAAATTTTAACATGTTAATAATATTAATAACAAGAGTTTCATATGAAATGAATAATGCACATGTATTTATTTAATTGAAAGCAAGCATATCAAGTATATAAGCTTTTTTATTTTTATAATCAAGTTTTTCCTTTTTTTTTTATACATTCTTTGCAAAACCTTTTTCTTGAATTTTTGGCAAAATTTATTATTGAAAATTTTCAATGTTAATATATTGATAATCATAAAGAAGATATTTTTAATTATTGACAATTTTATCAACTCTATTATAAAATTATCTTTGGTCCTATTTATAGGGCGGAAAGAGAAAATTTTTTTTTATCCTATTTATAAATCATGTCATTAAATTCTTATTACAAATTTTCTTTTTTAGCCTCCATTAAATATTGAAAAAAAATATGTTATTAAAGTATGTGTATTAATAAGGGTAAAGAGAACTTATTAAGTTTTAAGACAAAGTTAATAAATTTTAATTTTTTTTAATATTAGTGAACTTAAAACTTAATAATTTTAATTTTTTTTAATATTAGTGAAATATATTAGAAATGACTTATAAATAGAATTAAAAAAATATTTTGGCAGAATTATGGTTGCTCTACAATGCTCCTAATTTCTTCATTATTTATGCTTTTTTTTTAATCAAAGGACTGGGTAAACCATGCTAACCAACAAGATAAGTTATGTTAGCATGCAAAGAGAATTACTACAACAAAATGACAGAGTATCAAAAATAAGATAGTCGGTAGAAGCTTGATGAGATAACCAATCCACACATTTATTTGCTTCCCTGAAAACATGGTCAAACGTGATCATTCAATCTCACATAATAAGATCTTTAATTTTGTTGATAGTTGCAGAAAGTAAGTGATTAATAGAAAACTCATTTATTTATATTTTTGGTAGATAATTTTCTTTTAGAGGAAGGCAAATGAAATGACGACAAAAAAGCTAATCTGGAATTTCGGGAAGAGAATCAAAATATAGAGATTTGGTGTTAGCAATGGATGTTATTATTGCAGGGGAAGCAACCACAGGATCGGTGATTTGAGAAATGAGGGTTATGGCGGTTCATCATCTTGTGAGCTTGTTCCGTCGCCTTCTGGATCTGATCCAGGTGCTGTTGTTTCGCTGCTTCTCTCCATTCCTCGGCTTTTCTGTGAACCGCTGCCATCCTCTTCATCAATTTCTCTTCCAGGTTTGATTTCATCTTCTGTATTTTCACCTGCACAACGTTCACTCAATTTTCACCTTCGTTCCAATCACTCGCTCTTCAACTGATTGAAAATTTGACTAAAACAGCAAATACACAGTCCTCTTCATTGAAATCTTTCTCTTATTCTTCACTTTCAAATTTTCATTAAGATTAGTCTATCTTAATTACCTTTAAATTCTTTTATATAACATCTATAATACATTTAATAAAGGTGTCTGAAAAAAGATTAATTATTGACGTTTTGCAAAGTACCTTGTATTTAAGCTAGAAGGAGTAATTATAGCAATTATAATAATTACCTTTTAATAAGAGCTTTTGAAGGGCTTTCTTGTTTCTAATTAAAAGAAACAACCTATTATTTGAAGCATTTATTAATTGTTGTTCTTTTTTACTCACATTTAAAAGAGTGTTTATTAAAATTGCATTTATAGCATATTTATTTAATTCTATTAATTTTAATTGCATTCTTTGATCATTCAAAAAAGGATAGGAAGGAGTACTTTATAAATATAAGACTTTTTTTTTTTAAGCGAGATGCCAAAAGATATAAAATATTTTAGATCCTTTAAAGTGCAATTAATGAGATTTTTTTAAAAAATACCCTTTAATTAAATGTGTAATTAATAAGGCTTTTTTGATTGAAATACCTTATCAAATAATTATGAATGTGAAAAGAGAGTACAAAATTTTAAAGACAATCATTTAACTCTAAGATTGTAATTCGATTAAAAGTGTTTTTATAACATTGAGAGAGACAGAGAATACTTTTATGGTCTTAAATATAAGTCATTTTCGACTAATTTACACACATAAAACACTTAGCCAAAGTCTACCAATATAATCCTTATTAATTACACTTAATCGTTTAACCCACTATTATATACCACCTCTACACCACAATTTCTAATATATGACATGTTTGAAAAACTATTTAAGGCCTCAACGAGTTCATAAAATGACTAATAAAAAAGACTACAGATATCTTACACTTCCTCCATTTAAAAAATATAAATCATTTTTTAAAGAATTAAATGTTAAAAATATAAAATATTTTGAGTCTTTTAAAGTATATTATTATTTTTTTAAAAAAGTACTACTATTGAATATATTATTTTATTTTATTTTTTTTGGGGTGAAACACCCTATTAAATAGGAATAAATATAAAAAAATGTTTAGTTTAAAAATAAATTAATAAAAAATATTTAATTTAAAAATAAATAATTATTTTATTAAAAGATGTTATTCGGAAGGGGTACTGGCCAGCATTTCAAATTTGGGATTTGTCAATATTATTTATGAGTTCAATAGTAAAATACGCTTTACAGCTTATTGCCTGATTCCCCCACCTACCGTCCACGGTCTGAGCTCGGAACTTAATGAACCCAACGTGAGCTCTCTTAAAATAATAATGCTCATTATTATATTAAAGTTGAACAGGAAGAAACAGAGAACAAGTGCGACTGAGCATGGCTGACTCATTATTCCCAAGACTATATCTAAAGCAAACTATCACATGCACTCCTTAAGTCCTGGTACACTCAATATCGCAACATTATGACTTTCAGGCTTTTAGTGCAGTATTTTATTTTTGAGGGCATGGTGTGGGGAACCGTATTGAATTGAGGATCACTCTCAAAGCAGGGGGACTGGTCAAAGAACAGATAAGGTTTGTGTTCCATTAGGAGCTGCGGGTGGCTCGAGGAGATGAAACCAACCACATGCCAGGCTAAACACTCAGACTTTAATCAACAACTCGTATCAGCATGAGCATCTCAGGTATCTAACTTGTATGCACAGTTAAGATACTGGGTTTCTCAACGTCCAGTACAAGGCCAATCCATGCGCAAGACACAGTAATCTGGACTTATCTTGACTTTCACTGTTCAAACTGCTTGCAAAAGTGCAAGTCCCTACTAGACAAACTGATGTCCCTTTTCACAATACACAA